TCTTTGTAGCATGGACGTATCCGCTTAATAGTCAACTAACATCAATATAGGTTTCACATAGCACAAAGTAAGCAACATTCAAGCAGAAAAACCAACATGAAAAAAGGCATCATAAGGATCAAACAATTCTAACACGCAATTCATGAGGATCCTTAGCCTACACACTATCATGCTTAAGTAATAGCTCATATATCACACACAAAAGGCATCTCTCCTAAGTAGACACTATAGCTGCAACCATGAGTATATCTTTAGCCTAACTTATAGCATGCACGTCATACTATAAGACATATAACAACAACTAAAATACAACATACAAAAACAAGTGTGGATATTTTGGGAAATCACTTTTCCGAGCTTCAGCTGACTGTAAACATCGCATCTTTTCTTTTCTTCTCTTGAAATGAATCTTTTCCAAAAAGGCTTAGTAAGACTCTTAGGTCCATATTTTGAGTTTGGAATCCCACGAGTGTTCATCCTAATCCCTCAAACCAGGGCTCTGATACTAACTTGTAACATCCCAAAACTTCAGGCTAAATTTTTCATTCTTAAAATAATATAGCATCCATTTTAAGAAAATCACATTTAGGGAAAACCATTTGTTCATAAACCATTATTCAGAAACCAGAGTTATAATGAAGACAATGCAGAATCTTGAATCATAATACTATTGATGCGTGTGTACAATCCCACATTCACAATCCGATAAGTACCTGCAAAATATTTAATCCACAATTATAAGCACAAAGCTCAGTGAGTTCCCCAAAATATCACATACAACACAACATAATAATCAGCTAAGGGTAATCAGTAGCCTCAGGACTATCAACGGTCCTGAATACCATACACAACACACATTATACATAACTATGAGTTATCGGCAACCCTAGGGACTATCAGCAGTCCCAGTGGCTAACAACACACCATGTGGATTAACAGCACACCTCACAGGTTATCAGCAACCCTGGGGACTAACAATAGTCTCATGGACTCACAACAGTCCAAGAGTTATCAACAACTCAGTTTACATATAACAACAATAAAAAAATAAGACCCAACCGGTAAGCATGTATATACTACCACACATGCATATATAGTGAGAAGACTCACCTTGCCGACGAAATCAATAGCTAACCGCTCTCACAACCAAAGAACGGTGCGATACACCTCCTAATAAACCACACAATGTAAACCCTTAGTCTACCTTCTAAAACTAGAAATTGACCAAAAGTCAACAATTAAGGTCAAAGTCAACAATCATGTAACATCTAGAACCCTAAGGTACTCAATTTCTTGATTTTTGGCTTTTTGGAGGAGCCTCACGGCGTGAGTAATGGTGGTCACGTCGTGAGTGGTCATTGACCGGTTGACCCACATTTTTGGAGTCTCACGACGTGAGCCGTGGGGTCCCACGACGTGAGCTCAGCTTAATGACCTAAAACCCTAAGGTTCGAGTATTTAAGGGAATGAAAGGCTAGGGTTGCCCATCGTCAGCCTCTCTCACCCTCTAATCCTTCTGGTAACACTAAATTCGACCCTCTTTGAGATCCTTGGTGTTTTTCTTGTTTGAAGGAAAAAAAGAAAGAGAATAAGCATCATTATGAAGGAAGTTGCAAGGAAGCATCATTGTCATCAACTCTTCTCTTGTTTGGACCATCGTAAGAATCAAGACTCAAGCCTCATTTCATTTCATGGATAGATCTAGGTTTTTGGTCCCATTTCCTTATGTTATAGCTTGTTGGAGTGAAGAAGATCCATAAAGATAGCAACTTTATGGATTCAAATGGTCTTTTGAGTATCATATCATCCAGATCTGGAAGTTGGTAGAGTATTAGAAGCTTGTATGAGAGCTTGAGGCCATATTTCTATTTTTGACCTAAAATGGTGTAGGGACATGCAAGGTGCATGCATGTCCATAAAGCAAGCATTTTTATGGACCATTAGTGTCCCCTTAAGCTTCTGTAAGAGTTGAAATTGAAGGCTGAATGGATTAAGAACGTTGAAACGTTGGTTTTGGCTTTAGATCGTTCTCACAACGTGAGACACGAGGTCTCATGACGTGAGGAGGCAAAACCCATCCCTTGCTGAGTTGTCCGAGTCAGGAACAAGTCTTTGGAATCGGAACGAGCGACTCTCACAACTTGACCAAGGATTGGTCACGACGTGAGACGCGATGTTGGGTTTTTGGGTGTTGATGGGCCACTAGTTTTCTGACTTTCGGCCATTGATAGGATTTGAGGCTTTTGTATTTGGGCCAATATGAGGCTTTGGCGTGTCCTTTAGGAATTGGGCCATTATTGGGCTTTAGTGACATTGGGTTTGAAACTCAGTTATTTGGCCCAACAAGGGAAGGGTAAAATGGTCTTTTACCCTAGGAGTCGGGATTAAAGAATTAGACTCTTGGATATGGTTTATGCCCTAGTTATTAACTAGGATGTTATTTGATCATATTTAGTGCGGAGATTTCCTGGATTAGCAGCTCGAACATTTATCTGATTTTTTAGCAGTTGAGGTGAGTCTCCTCCTAGTGTTTAGCGGGTCGAAGGCACCAATGCTGAACCACAGATTATGGTTATCTATATGCTAGTTTTATGTGTGACCTTTTATGTGTGTATGTATTGTATGTATGTCGGGCGGGGCCTGATGGGTGTGTTGGGCGGGGCCCATCACGTGATACACACAAATCTATTCCGAGCGGGGCCCGATGGTTGTCGGGCATGGCCCATTTTATGTTTGATATGTATGGAATGAGGTGTTTTGGGGAACTCACTAAGCTGCGTGCTTACGATTTTCAGTTTATGTTTCAGGTACTTCTAGATTGAAGAGGAAGAGCTCGGGATGATCACATTGCATACACCATGATTTCGGCCTCATTTGACTTTGATGTATTTTGGATGATTGATTGATATACTATGATTTTCCTTTTTGGTTTTTATAAAACATGTTTGGTTTATAGTTTTGTTAATATAAAAACGAAATTTTTGGTTTTAAATTTTGGGACGTTACAAATCAAAATCACCAACAGTTGATTCTCACGTCGTAACCAACCCATGGTCACGTCGTGGCTAACAAACTCAGCCCCGATCTAAAACTTTCAGTTACGAACAACTCAGCTGCGATCAAAACCACTGTCACATAGTGATGTCCATGCCACCACGTCGTGATAGAATCTGTCCAAAACAATCGGGGGGTCTTATCGTCACGTCGTGACCTCCAATATGGTCACATCGTGACTATTGCAAGTTGGGGTAACTTAATGCAATCCTATTTTAAGAGGGCCTTCTTACTCCAAAAACATTATAACAATCGATGCTTTATAGACATGCATGTCCAATGCATGTCTTGAGCTCAAGATAGGTCAAAATGATGAAAAATGGAGCCACAATCACATAAATGTCTTCAAAAGCTATCCAAACTTCAAATCCAACATATATAACACTCAAAAGACCTCAAGGATCCATAAAGTTGCAAACTTTATGGAATCCTTCCATCCAAACTTCCACAATATGAAGAAAAATGGACAAAGAGATTAGATCTAGAAGCATGCAACATAAAGCTTGGATCTTGAACACTTACAATGGTCCAAAAATGGATCAAATGGAAATTGCAAGCTTGCCAAGAGGTTCTCTATAGCCTTCTTCTTCCTTCCAAAAGCACCAAAACACCAAGGGTAAGTTCATAAATGGAGAAGAGGGTATTAGGGTTTGCTTCAAGGTCATAGAGGATGATGAAGGCCGAAAATGATGCCCTAAATCCAAGATTAGAGGTTTAAATATGAAGGGAACCCTAAAAGATCATGGGCTTGGGCTGCAACCATCTTCACGTCGTGACCATACCCTCGTCAGGTCGTGAGAGCCATCCGAAAATGCATTCTCATATCTGGTATGGCACGTCGTGACGACCTTCTTGTCATGTCGCGACATATGGTTCTCCTAAAAAAACCATGTATTTGACTCCTTTATGCCATACACTGATCCATTATGGGAGACGAGTGTTACAAACAAAGCTTGAAGCTTTAAATATCTACAAGTTTCTCATCAAACCAATTAGGGTTTGGTTCAATTAAGAACGAGACTATAAATAGTAAAATCCTTAATAAATTCATCAACTAATCTTCATTATAATCACTATCATTGGATTTGTGGCTCAACCTCAAACCCTAGGTTTGCATATAGAGATAAATGAGTAGGACATTATATCTTCAAGTACTTAGATGAATCCATAACTTCATAATTCATTAAATTCTTCAAAAGCTAACCCCATTTCTTCATTGAATAATCTCCATTTAAATGCTCTATCCCTCTCCGAATCGTGTTCTACAACAAATGGGGAAGAGACTCACCTAAATAACTTCTATCTTTCCACCATTTGGCACATATGACTCTCATAACTTTCATTCTTCTAAAATTTGACACCATTTGACCAAGTGACTTATGAAACTTCCTTCATTTATACTCTGACTCGTAAATTACTTACTATTAGCTATCTGATTGACCAGTCCACATTAGCCATTTAAATTTATAAGTTGGCAAAACTAGTTCCTCAACTTTAGTCTATGTCTTTGAAGTCTATTATAAACCTTATTTTAAATTTTTTATTTAGAGATTGAACTTTCTTTAATAATTTTCATTTCAAATTATTTCTTTTAGAATTTATTTCTTTTATTTTTTATTTAATTAAAATTTTAAATTACCCATAATTAAGGATGTTACAATTACCTCTCTATAAAGACGATTCTATCATTCGAATCATGGATTCCAAGAATAATCGCAAATATCTTTTTTTTTTATTTCCTCTTACATCTCCCATATAACTTTTGGCCCTGAAGTATGCTTCCACTTGACTAGCACGAGGTCGATCATTATTCTTCTCAAAATTTTCACCTTCCGGTTCAAGATTTGTTCCAGCTTTTCTATCGATCTTTTGCTCTCATTAATTTGAATCTCGTTTAAAGGTATGAAATCGACCTTGTCTCCCAACCATTTTCTCAAGTAACATACATGAAACACAATGTTGATCCCTTTCATCGGGAAAGACATCCCTCTGCCAATAGGTTAAAATTTCAAGTCTTATTTGAGACCAAGATGTAGTTTAGATTAGATTAATGAACGTGTGCGCGGTAGTCGTTAAAAAAAAAAAACTTATTTTGGAAAAAGATGTAAATTAGACAATAGTGGAGGGATTATCTTTGTAATTCACCCATTTCGGAATTTTGGAAGTTTAAACTGTACCCCTATCCCGCTCTCACGCCCCCACCCTCTCCCCTACATATATAGACATTACATCCACTCACTACCACTCAGACTGTCTATGGCTTCCGCATGATGCATTTCGAAGGAGCCCTAGCTCTGCTGCTCTATTCAGATCACCATTACTGATTTGGTTCTCGGATCGAGCTCTCGAATGCAGAGTAAGCTCACACACATCTCTATCTCTCTCTGTCACGCACATCCACCCAACCACATTATTCATCGTAAAGGCCTCGCACATAGAAATTTCAGCATCAAAACACATTTTAAAAGTTTATGTTTTATGGATCCATTTTTGTGATTGCATTGTAATTTTTGAATTTAAGATGAATGAAATGCACAGATCTGTAATTTCGCCTCACGAATTTATTATTTCTATTTTTCAAAATTCTCTACCTAACGTCGTTGACCTCATTTTGCACTTGAAGTCAAATTATTTCAAGCTTTTGAAAATCGAACTCAAATTTTCTAGTTGGAGTGAAATGTGTGTTGGCAGGACAAAAACTTTGTTTTTTGGCCAACCAATTGATGAATCTGGCGTTCGATCTGCAGATGTACTTGTATAGCTGTAGATTAATCTGGAAGTAACATGAAGGGTTCTGACAATTCCTTGACATTTTAGTTTTATTTCGATTTCGTTGTTTTGTGTTATTTTATTCTTATAAATTATTTATGGAACTCTGAGTTAGCTTTTTATATTACAGGCATGTTCTTAAAACACGAAGTCTTAGATTTGTTACTCTATTCTAATTCGAGTTTATCAGTACGAAAACGATCCTGTATTTGATATGCTTGTAAACCATTCTTACTTTCTAAATTCTTTCGGAGAAAATCTTAATTCCTTACTGAATGTTTAAGCATGCTTGCTTTATTAGGATCTAGAGATCTACCCCGATAAGATGCTGTAAAGGTTCCCAAATGGCTCCGATGTTATGCTTAACCTAATCGAACCTCAATTGCTTATAGATTTGGTGTTTAATTACAAGGCCAAGTGAAAAGATTCTACATTTCTTTATTTCAATTTCACCATCAAACAATGGAAAATAGTTATAAGAGGACAGGGCCTGTCTGTTATGTTTCTAGGCAGATTTAAGAATTCTAATATGATTATGTGTTGGAAATTTTCTTGGTTTATGACACTTTATGTGGTTCTGTTTATATCTTAATGTTCTGTTTTTAGTCTATAAAAGCTTAATACTATCAAAGAAAAACATCTACTTGGCAATCTTCCCAAACTTGGCTGCAACTATTATGCAAAATAAGTATGTTACAAGTTGCTAACCTGAATTTACATGTTGTAGCTGCAGAATTCATGGAAAGAAAGTCAATCTAACATCATGAACCACTCTATGGCAAGACAAGCAGATATGAACAAAGAAAATGTACATTCTGCCAACATTCAAAAGCCCACTGAAAGGATTACTAGAGCACGTGCTAAAGCCTTGGGCATATCTGGAAATTTACCTCCACTACACCCTCTGGCTAAACAAGAACCCAAACAGGGTCTACAACCAAAGTCTAAAAGAGGGCCATCTGATAACAAATCCTCCATTGATGTTGGCTCTAGCTTTCAGTCCAAAAGGAGGGCTGTTTTCAAAGATGTCACTAACATGGCTTTTGATGATTTAAATATCAAGGTCATCAATGACATGGTGAATCTGGAACCAGATGTTTGTGTCACTAACATGGCCTTTGATGATTTAAGCATGAAGGTCATCTATGACATGGTGAAAGTGGAACCAGCTGTTTGTGTGGGCTCTCAGGGGCAAAAGGGGAAGGTAAAAGAAACTGAAGATATGAACAAACAGAGCATAAAGGAATTAAGAGAAATAACTTCACAGCTTTCCATTAAAGTGGATTCCTCAAATGATGAAGAAGTTCTTGACATTGATTCTAAGCACAAAGATCCACAGATGTGCAGTTTATATGCTGTTGAATTATATAACAATTTACGTGTCACAGAGGTACTCTTTTTTTGTTAATACTTAATGCCCCATTTTTTTTATAACTTCTATTTATATGTAACCATGCAAGGTCTATTCTTAAAGTACATAATATAACCAAGGAAAATTTGCAAAAAGTAGAAACATACTTTCTTCTTGTTACTAATATGTGCAATGCACTTTGTATTTTATCCATAATAACAACGTACTTACCTTTCTTTATCAATAATAACAATATATAAGACGAGACTTGTAAATAATAAAGGTATGTAAGTACATTTTGCTATTATCTGTAAAAAATGTAAGTACATTTTGCTATTTGGTTAAAAGCATGTATATTGCTATTATGAGTTGTTATTTCCTCCAATTTTCAATAACTTACAAATATTAAAGGAAATTCTTAATTACTTCTTTTTTCATCAGCTAAAATGGAGGTCTTCATCTGATTATATGCAAACAGTGCAACAAGACATCACACAAGAAATGCGTGGTATTCTTATTGATTGGCTTGTGGAGGTAAAGCTTACAACATAATTCATTTTCTACAAGAAATTATCATTTATATTAAATCTGTTATTATTATTATTTATAATATGACTATTTTTTTGATGTGTAGGTTTGTGAAGAATATAGGCTAGCATCTGAAACACTTTACTTAACAGTCACTCTTATTGATCGTTGTCTCTCTAAAATGTACATTGAAAAACAAAGACTTCAATTGCTTGGAATAACCTGCATGCTCATTGCCTCGTTAGTTTTCTTATTTTTATTTATAAATTTTACATAAACCATCATTTACAGAAATTATGATATTAATATATCCTTTTATTTATAAAACTTTAAGGAAATACGAAGAAATTTGTGCCCCACGTGTGGAAGACTTCTGTTTCATCACAGATGGCACCTACACTAGAAGAGAGGTATGTCATATGTTCATCAATCACTACTATAATTTAAAGTAAAACTTTTGTGTAAAAATATATATAAAAAATTAAGTTTATGAATCAGGTATTGGACATGGAGTATCAAGTTCTTGAAGTTTTAAGCTTTAATCTGTCTGTTCCAACTGTAAAAAAGTTCCTTCGGTAAACTTCCATTTCCACTTTTTTTATAAAACAATTCAAAACTTTTAAATTTCTAATACACAATGATTTATTTTCAGGAGATTTATTTTAGCAGCACAAAGTTCTTACAAGGTACATAAAGTCATAAACATACTACCACAATAATATAAAGTAAATGATTAAAAATAAATTTATATGCAGGTTTCATTTGTAGAGTTTGAATATCTGGCAAACTATTTAGCAGAATTAACGCTGATTGAGTATGGATTTTTAAAGTTTCTACCTTCTCTTGTTGCTGCATCAGCTGTGTTCTTAGCTAAATGGACACTTGATCAGATTGAACATCCATGGGTCTGTTTAATATCTTTACTTCTTAATTTTAGTTCTAATCCAAATTTAGCAGAAATTAAGGTTTGAAATTAACCTTAAATATTTATTGCAGAATCCTACCTTAGAACATTATACTAATTATAAAGCATCGGACCTAAAAGCAACGGTTTTTGCACTGCAAGACATTCAACTTAACAATTCACCCCGCCTTCTTGCAATACGCCAAAAGTACAGACAAAAACAGGTAAAAAAAGTGAAACACTGTCACTGTTACTGTTTTACTGTTGTTTATTTTGTGTTGTGTGGTTTGATGATAGTTGTTTTGTGATGACAGTATAAAAGTGTTGCAACCTTAACCTCGCCAAAACCTGTGATACCGTTGACCTAATGGTTGACTTGACTAGATGCTGACGTGTGAACATAAGACAAGATGATTTATCCACAAGGAACAGGAACTGGTTGTGTTGTAACTTGTAACTTTTCGAGAGCTGTCTTTGTGCATCTCGCACATTATTATGGCTGCTATATAATTAAATTAACAGCTTGTATCTAAAACAATTCATTGATGTTTACAGTTATAAAATTCTATTTGTTGATTATTATATTTTCATTTTAATTTTTATGGACTGGGCTGGGCTGGTCAACACTGTTCCAAAAGAAAGCCCACCGGTGGTGAAACTGGATTGCTGGTCCAAACCCTTTGTGGACTCACTGTGGTGGAATGTTTCTATTGCTATGGAAAAGCATTATCAACAGTTAATCATGTAAACCTAATATATAAATTATAGGTATAGTATAATAATAAGGTAGATTGATTTTTAATTAAACATTATACACGTTTTATCGACATTATTCTTTTAAACAACAAAAAGTAAAATTCGTTTATTACTTTTGTTAAAAGTATTTCCTTTTTATCTTAAGATGCTTTTGACCCACCATCAACGTTTTCAAAATTGGGTAAGGTATCAAGTAGTAAAGCTGTGCAATCAATATATTATTAATTAAAGTATTATGATGTAGATATATCTTGAATATATTTATACTATCCTATTGCTTTTTCACAGGGATAACTTTCACAAAGATGAAACAATTTGAATTATATTTTTGAAAACTGCAAGGTATAAAAATACAAATTGCTCCTTTATCAATGTAAATTATATAGAGTAAAATTCTTTTAAGAACCAATATTTTCGTGAGAATTTGAAAACCGATGGTTTTAATTTTTTTTTTCTTTCAAAACACCTCCATAGGCACCTAGACATCTCGTTTGGACTAATCACATGTCCAAAAGTTAAACACAAGCGGCATCATCTTCACAGTCAGTCTGAGCTCGAATGCAGAAAATTTTGTCTCATTTATAAACGACCACATAAGGCATCTTGATATGCATTGGAGAATCTTCCAAGGCCGTATATGTCAAGTTATCCTCAATTTCTTCATCTTTAGAAGATTCAATATCACAACCTAATCCAATTCTGACGTTGCAAACGTCCAAAATCATTTTATTTCTTTAATAAAATGAACATTTGTGAATACAATATCTTAATATAATATGCTTATGCGAACATTATGTACTTTATATGTATTTTTCATTACATACATCTTTAATCACATCAACTTGATACGACTCAAAATTATCACTCAACTGTTTTATTTGCGAACCATCAGTTGGTGCCTGCATGGCATAAAAAATTAGTAAAACAGATTGTATACACTTTAAAGACGTAACAAAATGTGATAAAGATTAAAAATGTAGGACTCGTACATTTTACTTTTCATGGTGTTCCTCATCATTCTTAATCTTGTCATTTATAACATGCACAATATAAAAAACAAAAGCTCCTCTATGATAAGATAATAATAACAAAATGTTGCTACATTAAACATTCCCACTTGCACTCAGATACATTATATTTGTTAGTTAATAATCATGAGAAAGTAAACATTTCGTCAAATTAGTAACCTAATCTTTATATTCAACCAAATGGTCAAATTCCATGTTGCTAAATCTTGTCATTCAAAACCTCCTACATACCAAACATTAACATGTTGATATCAAAAAATAAAATTATCGAAATATTGGTATCTTTAAGTTTCCCACTTGCGTTCAAAAATTACCTTGGTTACTTCAGTTTCATAAAGATCAAATCCACTATCATATGCCAATTCGATTAGACGAGACACTTGTCCATGTTGGCATTTTGCAACCTGATGGTCGACTTGCTTCTTAGATGGTAGCACCATGGACACTTTTAGGACTTTATGTAACATCCCAAAATAGTAGCAAAAATTTTCATTTTTAAACCATCAAGTCATACAGTCATATATTCCAAAACCAACATAGTAAATGTAACATCCGGATTCCCATGTATATTATTTTAATTATTTATTTTTGAGGATCATTGATCTACTCGACGAGTTGGTGCCATAACTCGCCGAGTAGAAGCGGGTGTGGCCACATGAGTTTAATGATCTACTCGACGAGTCCGAGAGTAGACTCGTCGAGTAGGCGCTGTGAGTGGAAACCCTAGATCCCCGGGTTTGGGGCCTATTTAAGGGCACTTATAGCCTCATTTGCGGCCACACCTCACTGAGAAGAAACCCTAATCGCCCCCTTGAGCTTTTGAGAGAGTTTTGAGCCTTACTTGAGATTTCTGAGTGCATTTTGGTAGAGAAAAGGAGGATTCCAAGCAAGGTTTGTGAAGAGGCTGTTAGATCTGCTGCTTATACGTCCAAGAGCTTCTGTTAGAGGTATTAAGTTCGAACCTTTCTCTTTTGTTTGAGTAGATCTCTCATTTTGAAGATTAGGGCTTCTTTCCTTTATATTTTGGGACTTTGAGGATTTGGGGTTCATGAGGAGGCTTGAACTCCAGATCTGGACCTTAGGAGGTCCCTAGCATCTAAAGGTTCCTGCTTTATTCAACCTTGATGGAAGTTATGAGTGAAGAACCCATTTAGATCGTGTTCTTGGCATTTCATGCCCAAAATGCCATGCATGGACGTAAAGTCTATGACTTTAAGTGATAAATGAGCCCTGAGAGTATGGATCTAGAGTTTGGGAAAGTATCCTGCCTTAAAGTCGTCTAAATGCAAGTTGAGTATGAATGGACTCGCCGAGTTGATGAGCCGACTCAGCGAGTAGATTAGGGTTGTCCCGATTAGCTGGATCAGGAGAAAGCTCGACGAGTTAGGGGTTAACTTGACGGGCTGGACCTTCATGAGATTGTCGAGAATCGATGGGACTCGACGAGTCGCACGAGTGCACTCGGCGAGTCTGGTCAATTTGGGTTGTTGACTGGAATTGACTTCTGTTGACTTTAGGGTTGGTCAAAGGAGTGATGGAGGTCAGGAAGGGGTAAAATGGTCTTTTACCCATTTCTAAGGCTAGAGTGTAAGAGAGATCAACGTTTGGTGCATTTGAGTGTGAGGAGAGTATTAATTAGAGATATTATCCTTGTGATAGGCAGAGACTAGATCGAGGATTTCCGAGCATGATAATTTTACTTGCTAGCTTACGAGGTGAGTCTTCTCACTATACTTTACCTAGAGTGGTATTTATGTGTGACTAGAGGGTCTTATGTGTTTATTGAGTACTGTGATATTACTGCATTATGTCTGTGTGATTTATGTTATGTGTTATTCAGAGTTTACAAAGTTAGGACCGGCGGGTCCACAGAGTTAAGACCGGAGGGTCCATCAGAGTTGTGGGACTGGAGGGTCCCACTGAGACACATCGACCGGAGGGTCTTACAGAGTTATAGCCTCGAGTGGCTAATATGTTGTATGTGGTATTTTGGGGAACTCACTAAGCTTCGTGCTTACCGTGTTATGTGTTATGTGTTTCAGGTACTTCCGATGATCGCGGGAAAGGCCCCGACTTGATTGTACACGCACTCGCTTGGAGATATATTTTGGAGGATCCTGGTTTATGTGATAAACAACTTTTGATAAATAATTGTATTAATGTTAACACTTGAGATTTTTGGGAAAACATGACATATGGTTTATGTTGAAATGAAAATTTTGGTTGAAAAATTTACGTCTTTACAAGTTGGTATCAGAGCCTTGGTTTGAGGGATTCGGATGCACCTTCAGGTATGTCTGGACTCAAACTGAGGATTTGAGAAAAAATTTCAAGAGAAACGATTTTTTTCTAAAAACGAGTAAGAGTTCTAAGAGAAAAACGAGAAACAGCGGTGTGTACAATCAGCCTGAGCCCGAACGGTGATTTCCCAAAATACCCTTACTTTCTGTGTTATGAGATATTATGAGATATATTATGCATGCTAGAGAGTAGGCTATGTATTTCATATTTTAGGACTAGAGTGGCCTGATTTGTGATGCCTTAGCCTAGGAGTTACTGCTACCTGTGATTTGCTTTGAGTTCGCGTATGTAGCAGAAATGAGCTTATGAGAGTAGTCGGTGTTCGGCAAGATATAGAGTAATTGCAATATGGAATCCTAGGAGGAGGACTTGGGGTGATTACAGATGCGGTGTGGAAGGTAATATTGGGCCCGTACTACTGGAAGCACCGGGTCAGTGAGTAGTTCAAGTAAGAATCCTTGGGATGCTAAGGAGCAAGTAGGGGGAGTGATCGAGTGTGAGTATACTCGAGCGAGTCTCTGATTATTTTATGTTGTATTACGAGAGATATCATGGTGGGTACGCGCCACAACCCAGGGGGCAGTGGTACCAGTGACGATGAGATTCGGAGGATGATTCATGAGGAGGTGGCCGCAGCCATCCGAGCAGAGATTCCCGAGATGTTTGGGTCTATAAAGACCACCCTGATTGAGACATTTGATGAGCGATACGCTGCTGTCACTGAGGCTGCTGCTGCTGCCGTCACTGCAGGTGTCGCTGCTGCTAGGCCACATGGAGGTGACTTGTTGTTGTTCCGGGAGTTCAGCATCACGAAGCCACCAGAGTTTGATGGGACACATGATCTGATTGCTGCGATGAGATGGATTTCTGATATCGAGGGGTGTTTCTACACTTGTTCATGTCCAGAGCACTTGAGGGTACGGTTCGCGCTGAACCAACTTCGTTTGGGAGCGAAGGACTGGTGGAAGTTTGTGACAGCTCATTTTACTCCTGCAGAGCACACTGCCGTGACTTAGGAGAGGTTTATTGTGATGTTCCGAGACGAGTATGTTCCCCCGGTGGAGAGGGAACGGTTGGCCCAAGAGTTTATGTCCCTCAAGCAGAGGACAGAGTCAGTGACAGTGATTACGAGGATGTTCCACGAGAGACCAATGTTCTGCCCTGAGCACGTGTCTACCGAGCAGGCACGTTGAGCCGGTATTTGAGCATTCTGAGGAGGGATATTCGAGAGTTCGTGGCGAACTCGACTTATCGGTCATTTGTTGAGCTTCAGGCAAATGCCCGAAAGAGGGAGATTGAGCTGGAGACTCAGGCCAAAGAGGAGGTGGAGTCTCAGGGGAGGGATAGGCTACCGGCACAGTCTCAGCCGACAGCCAAGTGGGCTAAGCTCGTAGATTCGAGATCAGGGGGCCAGAAGGGCCGCACTTGTGGGAAGTGCGGCAAGGGTCACGAGGGGATA